ACTTTCAGAAAGTCAACTTGAACCAAATCAACAATATCGATAGCAAATTAGATTTCATGAACATTCTTGACATGAATCAAATCAACAATTATTAAAATGACTCAATGAAATCGATAGAACGAAAAGAAATTGATTATAAACAGATGCATTATTGAAGGAATGATGAAGAACAGGCACAATGGTACAACCAAATAAAGTTGGTCTTCAAGTGGACTAACGAACAACACATACGTCAATTTTATAATATGATGGGCTCAATATATTGAAAAACAGATACAATAATGTTTTGACTTTGAAGAAATCTGATAAAAAATAGGCTTCATTAGATGAACAATTCTTGACTTTAGGTTTGGGCTCAACATATAATTGAACAATAAACCTCGAAATGTTGGGCTGCTCATCCAATTGTATGATCGGTGATGAAAATTTTGAAATAATATCAAATATTAATTTCGAAGTTAACAAAAAAATGTGAGAATATGTTTTTGATTTAGATTTGATCTAAACAAAAATAATTGGATCAACTATGGGGTTGAAATGGATTATATCCAACAAAACAAAACGATCAAAAATGAAAAAGCAAAGCACGAATCAAATTCATGGACGTTTTGGAATCCATTTGAAAATTTGAGATACCTTTTTGATGAATTGAGTTCCATTTTCAATGAACGAATCAAATTAGAAGATCTTGGTTCTTTTGTTGGAATGAGAAAATCTCCAAATCGAACATTGTACCACCCACTATGCATGATGTACAACTCGTTCTTCGTGTTTTCATCAAACCAAGAACATCTTCAAAAGAACCACCAACACTTTTGGGTTTTGACTTCAAATTCAATGTAACATTTGGAGATTGTTGCTTTGTAACCCAAATTTGTTTTATGGATTTCGGCTTCAAAACATTTAAGTAAACCCGCTTGTTTTTCCGTTTAATCTTCGTCTTCTTTTTCTTTCTCGTCTTTTTGCATCTTGAAGACTTGATTTCATGAACAAACCCACTTTCCACAACTTCAACATTTTGAGTTTTAATCAAATCTTTTGGAGTTTGATACTTGTGAATTTCTTGGATCACTGGCTTCCGATAAGGAATCATTCATTCAAACAAATCATAAGAACACAAAATATCATCGGTTTGAACTCCAATCGAGTAAAAAACTTTTCATCTTCATGAAAATCAACTTGAGTATTCTTATCATGAACTCCAAGAACATCAAGAATATCATATTGAACTCCATTGTCTTGAACTTCAACAAACTTAAGAGCACGGAAATCATTTGGGTCTTCAATAAGAGAAACATATTTCTTTTTAAACAAATCTTTTTCTTCTCCATTCTTATCACAACTACGTGTTGATATGGACCATGTAATTTCATCCAACGATTTAATCTCACAAAGTGGTTGAAATAGCAAGCTTCCATGATCATTCTTCAATCCTCCATAAGAAACCATAGTTTCCTAAAAAATCAAACTGTTTAACACTAACCCATAATATTGATCTGACTTTGTATTTGATACCTTCAATGATCACAATCAAAGAATTGTATGGCAAATTCACCATGATCACAAAAACTTGAAGATTTCTAGAAAGCGAAAATGATTTTTAATGGGTTTTCTAGAGAGAGAAAGTAAAAATCACTTGAATTCTAGTGAAGAAAATCGAATTATGAGTAAAAACAATGATGAATTTGATTTTTAGAATCCAAAAACTCTCCAAATCACGAAAATCAAAGATCAAAAAATGAATCACCAAATCCAGATTGCCACCATGGATTAATTCTTGATGAAATCAAGAGCACCCGCTCTGATACCAATTGTAGTGCTGTTGATTATGATGGCATGTGTAGAATAAGAAAAGATACAGTGAATCATCATGTAAACTCAAGAACACAAGGAGTAAATAATTCTTTGTAAGCTCATATTAGATCTAGAAAGGATATACAAATGAGTTTGTACAAATTTCTCTTTCTAGTCTAACACTCCAAAAATGATCCTTACATAATGAGAGTCACTCACTTCCTATTTATAGGAAAGACTCAACCCTTTTACACATACAAATGGGTAAAACCTAAGACTCCACATCCAAGCATGACTTTGTACCCTAAAATTGGTGATGGTAGTGGTGGTGGGTCTTCTGATAAGTACAAGGGGTATTTTATAATCTGCCACTTTTTTAGACGAGAACGAATGTTTTCCATCCAACTTTGGAAGGAATTCACTTTCCTCCATATGGTGGAAAGTTTATTTCATTTATGAATCATTTTCCACCCTCTAAGTCCAACCAAATGCATGAATTCAAGGGAATTAGAATCATTTTCCCTCGATTTCTATTCATTTCCTACCAACCAAATACACCATAAAACTTTTCAAAGCTTAAAACCAAACATTACCTAGTAAGCAATTCCTATTGGCTTGGTGACCGACGGAGATGGACTAAACCGGATAAAAGAATGAAAATGACAAAATCAACCAAAATATGAGGTATTATTGAACCTAACACATTTCAAAGGGTAAAACCAAACATTTAATATCCCTTAATATAAATATAGTTATCCATTTTTTCGAAATTAATTAAATTAAAAAATTATATAAAAACTAGATCGATTGTATGAACAAAATATAATGACTTTTCCTTTGTAATAATATTAAAATTACATTTGTTTTATTTGCTGTCTAATACCGGAAAATATGGATTTGTTTGGTGTGAGATTTTTCTGGATTCTAATAAATTTGATTATTTTATAAGTTTATAAATTTTTAATAAAAAATATTTTTTTAACCAACAAATACAAATATTATAATTTACTTCTAAACACCTATTTGACCCTATGTCTGCCACGAGACTTGAACCCTAATAAAAGAAATATTTAAATTCATTATAGATTAGCTTACAACCCTTGTGTTTTCGTAAATAACTGCCAAGTTACTATGCCCATAAATTGGTCCGTTAAAATACATCGCTAAATTTGTTTCAAAATCCGTGACAAATCTGTGGCAATTTGTTTTCATGGCTGTTGGAAAATGCTATGTATTGGCCATCTATCATAAATAACCTAAAACCCTTGTGCTTTTTTATATTTTTTCCGTCGCAAATGGCTTCCACGTGATTAGCGACAACGCATACTGCATGTAAAGTCAGTTTTATACAGTGAGATACTGTAAAATTATAATGTATGAGGCAAAATATGTCAACATAATCATTTTAACTTGAGATTATTTTATATAATATATAATATTAGATGGCTCTTGATGTTCATCATAAGCTAAATATCAAGATTATGGAGCCGGGGGAAGCTTGTACGGCCAAAACATATTTAGGCGATCTTTAATCACTCCAAAACATAATAATTGTCATCGAATTGAAGTTTTTTACTTAAAAACTTTTTACATTATTGACTACTTTATGACTAGAGTTTTAATAATTTTCTATGGACAAGTGGGGATTGGATTGAGTATCTTTCATATGGGTTTAATAATCACCCATCTTTTAGTTTGTACTTGTTTCCACTTTTTAGATATTAAACTTATTAAAAATGAAAAAGTTTTAGATTAATATGTTTTAACAAATAACCAAAGCAGGATTCAAGATGGTGGTGACTAATGAATTACATATTTAGCGGCCATCTGATTTTATCCTTACAACCCTTCGGAAGGTCACTGGTACTAATCCACAAAAGAGTAAAGAGTTATCCCTACAAGTATACGATTTCTTGTGTATATTTATAATATATCAATATGCATATTATAACTTTTTTCATGACTATGGAAGACATTCTATCGTGTTTTCATGGTCGTATAAAATGATTGAATATATAAAATAGGGATAATTACTTGAAAGGGTAACAAAATTTCGATTTTGTTCATATTTAGTCATTAAACTTTTTTTATTATATATTTATCACTGAACTATTGAAACTGTTTACATTTTACCCTTATGACCGGTAACAGCCGTTTATAAGGGTAAAATGTGAACATTTTCAATAGTTCAGTGACAAATAGATAATTAAAAAAAAATTAGTGACTAAATATCAACAAAGTTGAAAGTTCGTTTCTCTTTCAAATTATCTTAATATTATACCCAAAAAAAGATATAAAAAAACGAAAAACGAAACCAATATTATATGTATAAGTTTTATGTTATAAATTATGTTATATTATAAGTATAAAAATTATCCTAATATTATATGTATGAATTTTGTTTTATAAAATTATGCAAGATATAAATTAACATACATTAAACAATATACTTTGTTTATAAAAGAATTCATACATATATTGATACATTATATATGTTGTTATATTCGATGTATAGACATACATCATATTAATATATTTACTATTAAAAATGATATCAAAATTTCCATATTACACAACATATATTTAGAAGTATTTTTAATATTATTATTCTTTTTAATTTTTCTTATGTAACTTTTGTTAACATATACATACATATAGTTGAAACATACATACGGTCAAACACATACATATGGTTAAATATATTGATACATAAATGGTCAATATTATTTAATTTTCCCTTGTCATGCAGTTTAACCAGAAAAGTCCTTGCCATGCATGCAACTTCAAATTAACACAACAAAAACCTCAAAATAACAATCAACTTAAGTAACACAAAATACACATCACATAAACCAACATAGTTTCATACAAACTAGCATAGTTAATAGCAGTTTCATAAAAACAGCAACAATACACCAAAACACATCATTTAACACTACATACCATGTTCATATCACATAAACCAACACTTAAAGTTATTCTAGAGTAACAGGTTTAGCTTCTGAATTCCCAGGTGCATCATTTCCACCAACTTTATTTCCCATTTTCAACTTGATAATCCTTTCAGATTTCTTCCTCCTGATTTTCTTCAACAGGGTTGCAAGTGGTGTTTCTCTAGCCTCTTGTTCTTACACATGAACCTGACTAGGTTCTCCATTAGCTGATGCATCAAACTCCAAGAGAGTAAGTTCCACCTCATCATAGTCTTATTGCACATGCACCTCATTGACTGCTTTTGCACCATCATTTATTGCTCCTCCATCATTGACTGCTTCTCCACCATGAGTTACTGCTCCTCCATCATTTACTGCTCCTACACCCTGATTGACCAATATGAAACATTATTAGAAATTTAAAAAGAAATTGTAAAGATTAACCATTTAAATACTTATGTACCTATTTTGTTTTTCTTTTAGCTTTGGTTTTAGGAGGCCTTGTTAAAGTACAAGCTCTTTTGTTGTGTCCTTCAATCTTACAAAGACTACATTTTTGTTTTTTACCAACCTTGGATACCTTCACGTGCTCCTTACCTTTGTTTTGTGTTTGGGTAGTTGTCTTTAATTTTTTACTTGACTGGTTTGGGGTTTCTGTTGCATCCCTTTTCCTTTTAGTTGCAGGTCTCCCAGGCATAGCTCTACGAATAAGAGGTAAAGGTGGGGTGTAATCAGTTGCAGGCTACAAATTACTTCCATTCATAGGTGCTAACCTAAGCTTGTATGCCTTCATATAAGTGATGCTACTAAACATTTTGTCCACATATGACTCTACATCCCTATTCATAAAACTAATAGCTGCAACAGAATGGACACAACCGATTCCATTAAGCTGCCATAACCTGCATGAGCAAGTTCTTTCTTCAAGATCCACTTCATAAGCATCTGTAGTTCCTCTTACTTCAAATTGATTTAATCCAATAGGTAAGACTTGGTAATGTATTAGAATCTTCTTAATGGCATTCACTATTTCTCTAATTGTTGGACAAATTTTGTTGCCCCATCTTAGACCCTTGCATTTCTTCTTGAACACCCTCTCCATCATATACATCCTCAACTCCTCTAGCATGGTGATAATTGGTTTCTTCCTAGCATCAACAATCACAACATTAAAACTTTATGACATTCCATTCTCCACAACATCATAACATCTTCCTGGTTGGAAGTAGGCCCTTGACCATGTTTTGGGGTCTTTGTCCATCAGATACTGATGAGCACTTGGGTCTAGCACTTCAAGCTCTTTCATGGAAACCTTAAAATCTACCTTTGTTGTTGCTTTACATGCCTTCTAGAAAATGCTTTCATATTGGGCACCATTATACCTTTTCCTAAGGTTTTGGCTAATATGCTTGGCACACTACCTATGCTCTACATAAGGAAGGAGTTCTTTCACAGCCTCAATCAAACCATGTTAACAAATTCTAAATATAGTGAATATGGATGCAAATATATAGGAAAATTAATTACAAACAACTAAATTACCTTGTGTTGATCAGATATTACACAGTATCCATAGCCTAAATTAAGTCCTAAGTCATCAATGAGTAAATCCAAAAACCACCTCCAACTTTCCTTATTCTCCACACATACTACCGCCCATGCAATAAGATAAATCCCATTGTTTGCATCCCTTCCAACAGCACATAATAACTCCCCTTTACAGATCCCTTTAAGGAAACAACCATCTAAACCTATTATCTTCCTGCATCCCTCCTTCCACCCCTTCTTCAATGCATCAAAGCAAACATATAACTTACTAAATTAGTTCTTCCCATCTGGCATATGATTTACATCAAGCTTCACAGTGCTACCTGGATTTGATCTCCTAATCTCTTCTGCATACGACCATAACTTTGCATAATGTTCAACTAGGGTGCCATCTATTAGTTGGAGTGCATATTTCTTAGTTCTCCTGCATTGACCAACACTAACATGAATGCCAAACTTCTGTGACATAGCTGTTCTTAGCTTTCTAACGCTCATCTTTTGTCTAAGTAAGAACTCTCTTGTATACTGACTCCCTATCCAAGCATAAGTGAGCATGGACCCTAACTTGTAGTTCCTTGCACATTTGTGGACTGGATTTAAAGACTTAATCTGGAAGCTTGCTTCATCACTCATCCAAGATGCCCACAACCTAAATGAGGACTCACCCTTGCAACACTTAACCAACAATCTTTTCCTATCATTTTTTTCAAAGCAAAGTTGGTACCCATTCGCAACAACATAGTTGCATAACATCGATTTTAATTGAGATGGATCTTTGAACCTCATACCAAGTATTGGGATCTGCTTTTTCCATGGAACTAACTCATTAAAAATGGAATGTTGTTGAGTTACATTGGCATCCTCTTCATGCCCATCATGATCATTTATGTTGTTATCATTTCCCTCTTCATCTTCACCACATAATCTATTTAGAAATTCATCACCCTTTGTCCTATTCATAGTGACTATGTCCTTATTAAAGTCCACATCCACATCTGTTAGGCTATCAATTTCTTCCTCATTCTCACCACCATCAATGCTAGAATCATCTCCATCCTCCTCTTCTATTTCAGAACCAAATCAATCTTCTATTCCTTGACCATCATGGTCCACATACATACAAATTTTACCATATGTCCTATATACATGAAAAATGAAACCACCATAGTCTTCATCATTAGCAATAGCAGTTATCCCAGATATTAAGGGCTTACCTGGTTCACAATAGTATAACTTCTTTATAATTTCTTGCATGAACCGTTCGAGAAATGTGATACATTCACCGTATGTCATTCCAGAAAAATCATGATCATTAAAAGTGAAATTGATACCATGGTTATACGAGAAAGGATTTCTAAGAAAAACACCTTTGAAGTTCAGCTCCACTATAGGGTAGAGTCCATCAGGGTTTGGTGTCGAGATAGACATTGTGGGTTGGTTGACTTCTCACTGACTTTGATCGGAGAAAACGACTTCGAACCCTAGGTTTAGTGCTTCGTATTCACTGTAAGATGAGAAAAAGAAAGAACGAAGAAGGAGTGTTCTAGCTAAATAAATGTGTTTATTTTGATCTCTAAATCCTACATGGATAAAATAAATGAATTATATTATGTAAACTTATTCCACGTAAGCAATATCACTGGTTGTTTCGTTTACCGGGTGCATAAGGGGTAATTAGCCGGTAGTTACTAACATTAAGGATCAATTAAGCACAAAAAAACTTAAGTGACTAAATGTGCAAATTGACCAAATATTGATGTGCCACAGTGTCAAAAACCCTTTTTAATCAACTATTTTAAATAAATCATTTTACATAAATTATAAATTAAGAGATATATCAAAATTTTAAAGTTATTACAACTTCAAATTTAACATATAATTAGAAAATGTATATTTAAATTTTGAAATGAGTTATCTAATATATCTACATGGCACATGACATAATATTAATGAGGAACTGTATTATAGTGACACTTGGCAAAATGTGATTAAAATTATTCATTTATTATAATTATAACTAGGTGAATACCCGCGCGTTGCACATAAGCATTTATATAGCTGAAATCTTTATAAATATATGTTTTTTTAAATATAACACTAATGTTGTTAAATTTGATACAATATTCATATACTAAGTTTATATAATATATTGATTATTTTGAATTATATGATAATGTATACATCTATTAAAACTGCATAATCTCAATCTTTTGAATGACCTCTACCTATGGGCTACTCATGAATAAAATTAAATATAATATATGGTATAATGTTATTTATAGTTATTATTGTTAATTAACTTTTTAAAATTTATTTGCTTACCGTTTTAATTTCAATCATTGTAATTATTTAAAACATAAAAGAATTTTTATTTATTTATTTTAAAGGTAACAATATAATCATTTATATAGAGTTATTTTTAATTATTGTTATTGTAAGTTATTTTAAACTATTTATTTGAAAATTTTCAATGATTATAAAAATATCTTTAGGAAACATTTTAGTTAAATTGATATTACAATTTAGTTTGTGCATTTAAGACTACAATTTATCACTTTTAACTATTTACAAAATATTTTTTTGGTTTTTTAAGTGAAACTAAAATTTATATTAAAGTTGACCCTATAATGTTATATTTAAATTAACATTTTAAGTATTTTGTCGAAACTGTTCAAAAGTTATATCATGTTAAGTATAGCAGAAACGAGTATGATTGTACTTAAGCTTAAAACACTTTAAACAGACCCTAAACAATGCTAAAATATAGCAGAAACAAATCTGATTTTGATTGAATTGAATGACTTATACAAAAGAAAATTTTCGGGTTGTCACACATTTCATATATCACACGGATGTTCATCAAATTCTCTCAAATAAGGGTTTTGATACCAACTTGTAACGTCCCCATTTTTAAGGCAAAATTTCCATTTTTATTTATTAGAATATATCAGAGTTGTAATTACATTATACGAAAGATATTTCGAATGTGCATGTGTACAGTCGAACCTTGCCCTTCACATGAGTACCTGAAGAAATTTATAACAACTAGGTAAGCGCTAGGCTTAGTGAGCTCCCAAATATACCAAATACCACAATACATATACGATGCATACACATAATGACCGTCAACAATAAGCTAGTCCGCCCTTTGGTCTTCAGCATGAAGCTGGTCTGCCCCTTTTTCCTTCAACATATAGCTGGTCCGAACATTAGCCTTTAGCATCAAGCTAGTCCACCCAAGTCTATTGGACTTCAACATAAAGTTGGATCGCCCTCAACTCCCACATAGTATATTAACATGTAGTGCACACAAACAATCTAATATAGCAGGCAACTAACTATCCTAGTCTAATTGTCTAATGACATACTACATGGAAACTATATTCTAACATACAAGGAATATATACAGGAGCATATAATATAATGAGAGAACTAAACTTGACAATAACTCAGAATTTTGATAGTTATCTGGTTGATTCTAGTGACGATTCAACTGGCGAATGGCACACCGAACAAGTATTAACCTATAATACTTTATCCTATTAATTTCTATGACCATCTGGTAATGAAAATTAGATCCTTCACTAATCCCAATGAATACCGAGAGTTCTATCAAAAAGGGATCAACCACGTTGGAGAGTTATGAGGCATGACCATTTCGACATATAGCTTTTTTAAAATCCAACAATCAAGCCAACATGACCATTTTAGACACCTCTCCCGTAAGTATATCAATCAGAATTATAACTTGGAATTAATGATGAATCTAGCATTTACAAGTTCTTAATATCGACTATAATTACAAATATAAGATATCCTAAAAGTCTAGTAAGCGTAGCTTCACATACAGAAGTTTCTTGCGAAAACCAGGAATTTCGTAGCCAAAATTCGACTCAAGAGCTTCTAACTCCTGAGCCCTCTAACGCTCCTGAATTTTGCTAGTGAAGATTTTGAAATCTATGAAAATACTACAAAAGTCGAATCTGGAGAGAGATGTGTGAGGAATGGGTGTGAGAACAAATGAAACATATGATTCCTATTTATAGCAGAAGTGCGCAGCGTGCCCAAACAGGATACACAACACGCACAATATTGGTCAAAAAGGGTCCCTTCAGAGCATGACATGTGTCAACTTTTGGTTGGCGCGTGACAGCTTCTGAAAAGTGCGCGCCGTGCCCCTCGCATGTATGAGAGATTTTTCTGATTTAAAAAAAATTGTATCTTCTTCATACGAACTCCATTTTCGATGTTCTTTATATCTATACGTAGCTAACGACACAATCTACAGTCTTCATTCAAATTCCGTCATCTAATGCTCAATATAGTTTTAAAGTTATTTTTTAACATACTTAGACTGTTAAAGCCTGTATAAAAATCATAACTTTCTCATATGAATTCCATTCTTGATTGTTTTTATATCAACGATATCATATTGACGAGATCTTTAACTCTCGTTTAGATTGTTTTTCATAACAACCGATTGATTTCTATTTCAGTTTTTGTGTCGTACACTACTATATTGAAACTTCTAAAAATCATAACTTCCTTATACAAAGACAGATTTAGGTGTTCCTAATACGCACGCTCTCAATTTTGCGATTACTACGACTTTCATTAAGACTATTTATCATAAATAGTTTTTTATAAAAAAATGTTTATTTATGTGGTTGGTCATTTATACTATAAGGGAAAAATAAGGTGTTACATATTGCATGGTTCTTGTTTGATTTATTGCTCTCGGGTAGGATCATCTGTTTGAATTTCTATCTTATTTATTAGCTACGTATAATTATGCATTCATAAGGCGACCACCAATATTAGTAATAGCCTTTGTATAGTTGTGGTACGGATGAGAGACAGTGGTTGTATGATTGTTGGGCGTTAATGGTTGTATGATGGTTGAGAGCTAGTATTAATATGGTGGCAGGTTTCCTACGGTTGATACGTAACTGGAAGCTGAGAGCTTTTGCTTATATGAATGATGAAATATGTGGTATACCGGAGAATTTACTAAACTTTATGTTTACATTATGATGTTAAATATTTTTTCTGGTTGTTCGAGGGAAGGGTGTGGCGTGAGTATACATTCACATCAAAGATTTATTGATACTTGAATTTTGTTGGTTTTTGTGATATGACTTTGATGAAACCTTATGCTTTTGAAACAAATTAATAATATAACATGTTTTCAAGAATAAGTTTTGAATGTTTAATACGGTTTTAAATAAAAATTTTGGTTTGAAATTTGGGACGTTATAAATTTGAACAAAGAAACCGACCATGACATCTAAAAGGCATAGCAATTCATTGTATATTCAATTGTAATCTAAAGAGAATTAGATAGTACAAAATGAAAATCAAATTTGCATTAACTAAACCCCAATCGAAATCGATATTGTATTAGAAACAATCGGATTGAAATGAAACTCACCGAGAAATTTCACCGGTTCAAATTTGAAAGATTCCTTAATTCGAGAAAGGATTAGATCGATTGTGAAATCCAAACATTATGATGGCGGCGATAGTTGGTGATGGTGATTGTAGCGAGGTATCGAACTTATCTATATATCTTATAATAGAAGCATTTTTCTAAGCACCACATTGATTTGAAACTCCTTTGTCTTTTTATATTTTCAAATGATTATATTTCTAAGCACCACATTGATTTGAAACTCCTTTGTCTATTCATATTCTCAAATGACTTTTCAAATGTCTTCTAAGTAATTGATTTAGCATTAAACACCAAACATGCTATATAAACTCTTACATGTAAGAAGGATATAATATGAAAATGAAAATAAAATTTTTCAATAGGAACAATTCTCTTAGAACGTATTTGTAGTGATGGAGTCCCTAAAAGAGCTCTACAAGTTAAAGTTGTGGATGAATGTATCATTTTTTACTCATAATTTGACCGTGTTATATTTTTTTTCCCAATAGTATAAATGATACCATTCAAAATCATATGTTTAGAGAATTTTTGTTTTCTCAAATCATATCATTCAATATCATATGTTTAGAGATATTTTGTTTTCTCAAACCATATTGATTTGATACCTACATAACTTTTTATATTCCTTAATTAATAGCAATTATAATATTTACAAATTTCCAATAATTTTTTGCATTCTCTTATTATATATGTAGTTATATTAGTACATTTTTTTTATAAAAAGTCATCATTTTGTTGAAAATATTGTGATTTAAAAGTTATCATATAGTTGAACCATTCACGATCTAAATTTGATGATTTGTAGAAATGGGTTATGTCTCATCGATGATAATTATAATATGATTTTTTTTCTTTGAACCAAAACAAATGAAGTTTTTCTATTCTTTTTTTATATTCAATTTCTCATTTGATCTTTATATGTGATTTGTGTTTATTACTCAATCTTGAATGTGACTCTCCAAACATCAATGTTTTGCTTGGAATATCTTTCTGATTCTTCTTTTTCAAGGAAAACATTTTGATTGAAGGTTAATCAAGAATTATCATCAAGTTTCTATGGTTGAATAGTGTTAAATGAAGAAAGAAGATTCAAAATACGGATATTGGTTTTTTTGTTTGAGCAAAATAGACGAATGTTAGTTTTTTCTTTTGATTTAAATGTATATTTATGTAACATTTTTATTTATATATTCAACCACCCAATATTCTTATTTATTTGATTGTAGTTTTTCTATTTTGATTATATTTATTTTATATTATTTTTTTATTGGGTTATTCTTCACAACATATTTACAAGACAATATTTAAAAGATAATATAATTTTTAACATTTAATATGTAATTATGATGACTTATCATGTTATGTTCTTTCATATAAAAGTAATTTATCCATAATACTACGACAATAATTACATATGACATTTACAAAAAATATATATTATATATGATTTGTTTAACATATATATGCACCTATGTATGTTATAAATTTATAGTTAATAAGTTAAATATATTTATGTTTAATAATTGAAGGGATTACAATGATGCATCAAAACCAATTATTTAGTCGAATATAATAATAATAATAATAATAATAATAAATACACATTTCCAAGTACCGTATTCATTTGAAACTTATACTAAAACTCAAGAGTTTTCTAATTTATTTATTAGTTACAACTCAAGAGTTTTTAACTTATGATTATTAATTAGTAATCACTAATAACTTTTTATTTTCTTTTCTTCTATAAGGTTGTAAAGTTTTGCTCATTAAAAACATTAATGTATTTGAAGAGATTTATGATTTAAATATGAAGAGTTAACATAAATATTATAATAAATGTAAACGTTGTAGTGTTTATTTTTCATTTTTTTATTATTTGTTGTGTATATATCTTTTTTAATACAAATATTATAATAAATGTTTTTGTATTTTTATGTTACTAAAAGTTGTAGTTCCTATTTTTTGTTCATACATTTTGTTACCCATTATATATAAATTTTCATAAGTTTGATATATAATTTACATAATTTTAAATGGCTTATAAAATTATCAAATAATCGTATATATCACAATGATTTAAAAATTAAAATTATAATGTTTAATAAAATTAATATGTTAACAATGCGTTTGCTTTATTACTAATATTTTGTTTCAAAGTAGAAATATTAAATAATAATTTGATAAAATTTATTATTTTTAGTATATAATTGTATTTTCGCGCAACGCGCGCGATGATTCGCTTAATGGAACTATAATTTATGGTTGGGTTAATAGTGGAACTATAATTTAGATAAAGAGCGTAATGACACTCAATTCCATTTAAAAGACATGACGAGTATTACAATTGACTAATGCTCTACTATTACCTTTAATCTAATAAAAAGGGTACTCTAAACTTTACTATATTCCATGTATTATATCTATATTTCTTAATTTAATTAGTATAGAGTTTCCTAATGACTATAATCTATTCTTATTATTTATTTTGTTTCTTGTAGTGTATGGTTCATGATACTCATACACTCATTTCTATTTTAAAAAATGACGAGTCGACTAATGGTCTATTATTACCTTTAATCTAATACAAGGGTACTCTAAACTTTAGTACTTCACTATATTCCATGTATTATATCTATATTTCTTAATTTAATAGAGTTTTTTAATGATTATATTCTATTCTTATTTTATTTCTTTTTTTCTTGTAGTGTATGATTCATGTATGATCCATGATACTCATATATGAGATCAGTGAATACTCAAGTGACATTTCACAAACTTTTATATATATATATATATATATATATATATATATATATATATATATATATATATATATATATATATATATATATATATATATATATATATATGGAAAAGTGAATATACCCTTATGGGTATATAAATTTAGGTACCCAAACTTACCATACTAAATCGTTTTATATCATATATAAACATTGTAAGTGTTCAATGTTCTTATAATTCAACCTCTAACTTGAATTACTTTAAAAAAAAATTTATAAATTTCATATTTATCTTTCTCTTATATAATTATCATTTTCAACAATAATATATATAACCTAGTAAGTATTTGATAAAAATATATGATGTAAGAGGAAGATAATAGTGAAAATTTAAAAATATTGAATATAAATCAAGTTAAGGATTAAAGTTTAACAATATTATAATGAATATAGCAAACAAAACGACGTATTATTATGAGTTTGGATAACTAAGCTTTTATATATATATATATATATATATATATATATATATATATATATATATATATATATATATATATATATATATATATATATATATATATATATATATATCGGCTTCTATTTTCTAACCTTAATTCTTGCCTAATTTCTCCGTATATATGAATTTCTTGTTATTCTAAATAAATGTTTTTTTTTTATTAGAGAGAATTAAAAATATAATTTTGATTTATTTTTAAGGTTCTAAATAACGTAAGGCATGACTTGGCGACAATGTTAAGCCTTAAATTTTTCTAAGCTTTGGCGAACCACGTCGTTTGTAAGACGTGATTTATGACGGCAATTTTGTATATAATTAATATTTTTATGTATTTTCACCTATTATTTTTTTTACACATATATATATGTTAAGGCGAAATTTTGGTAAAACTTGGTGGTATGTACAAGCATTGGAGCCATTACGAGTTTTTTAGAATCTTGTTTGTTTCATATAACATTCTACTTTCTTTTATTCTAAACAAAAAAGAAGTTTATGCAAATAGGTTTTCAATATTTTCTCCCAAACAAGTATCCAAACACTATATAATAAAAAAAAAACCGTAAGGAAAAACTTATATATTTTTATGAAAAGCCAATCAAAATGTGTGTCCATTGTTTAAACTGATGTCGTAATATTTTATTATCACGTGTAATTTTTGAGAAAACAAACAGAAAGTGGGACAAAGCTAAAATGAAAAATAAGAATAATAATAATAACAGAGAGAAAAATGTATGGTGGCCAGAATAGATAAAGATTGTAAAATCACCTTAAATAACGAAATAGGTGTTCTATCAAAGAATCTTCATGTCCAAAACGATAGACAGGGGTATACGTATACCCATGTGTAGTTTATTTAAAAAAAATCCTTTGTACATATACGTTAATGCATATAAAAAAACGTATCCCCTACATTGAGGGGTCCACTAGTTTTTCTAAAGCAAACTTAGCCCCACACATTAAGAAGAAAGAAGACCGCAGAAACGACACTTAAAACCATAAAACAACCTTATGTCCTAAAGGTTTCTACTATCGGGACCTGGATACGTCCAATTTAAGCTGCATGTAGCGTATACGTTAGATGAGTTCTCTGATACTCCAATTTATGGAGCTGTTAACATATTGAAAGGATTGTGGAATTTTTGGCGTTTATCTTTTTATGCTAAATCAGAGGCCATACATATAGGATCTCGACTCAAAACCAGAAACATTTTGTATATATGTTGCAGCGATAATTATTTTCGTCAGAAATTCAAATTTGAGATGGGTTCATTGTCGAATCTTTTATAAGGAACAAATGCAAACATGTCTCAAAATGTGGATAATCCTTAGATGTTGCATGTGCATGCGACAAGGTATGATGTGAAATACAAAAGGTGTTCAACCAAAGTCTCTATAAGCCTACAAGTCATTTATGATATATGAATAATGGAAGGAATTGTAAGCACGAATAATTTGAGTTCTTGCATCTAATGTTTTTAGTCGTATAAATTTCATATAGGTAACCTCACTTTGATGTAATTTAATCGCGTCATTTTCATATGTGAGTTAATTACCAATTTTACCTGTTTGAATGACTCAAGTACTCTTACCTTATTTAAACGATTATATATACACATGGCGTATTTGAGCCACCAACTAAAGCTTCATTTAAGTTATCATCTCAAATGCAGCTTCTAATTATATTTTCTCTCTCATTCTCCTTCTCTAGTAACTGAATAAACTCATATCCAACTATTTGCATATAAAAAGGTGAAATCAATATATGCTTCTGTCCAAAATACAATTAACTAATTGACACATTTGCCAAAAGAAATATGCATCAACTATATATATATATGCCCTGAAAAGGGAACAGAAATAAATTTCTGTATATAAATATTTACAAACGCTTTTTCTTTTTCTTCTCTCTTTCTCTCTCTCTCTCTCTCTCTCTATGTATATATATATATATATATATATATATATATATATATATATATATATATATATATATATAGTTTATGGCGAATGAATATGTGCTTACCGATGAAGAATAAGCTGTACTTTACTTAGAACACGTCCAAAGAACAGCTGCTTTGAAGATATTAAGGTTAATATATATTTCGTCTATTTTCTAGAGAATATACCTTGATATTTGAGGAGGATAAGATTTTTTAACAGTTATACACAAGTACAAACAGCCCGGCCATGATTCAGAAGGAATAATTTTCTTAAAATGCACTGAAAAAAGAATTGTTTTCCCCATCGTTTACTGTAACAAAGTAGCTATAAAACCTCCTTTGGTTCTCTCTCTCTCTCTCTCTCTCTCTCTCTCTCTCTCTCTCTCTCTCTCTCTCTCTCTCTCTCTCTCTCTCTCTCTCTCTCTCTCTCTCTCTCTCTCTCTCTCTCTCTCTCTCTCTCTCTCTGTGAGTTTATGTGTCTGCAGAGTGGGGCCTGTGTGCATGATGGATGCATCTCGAGGAGGAGCTCACGGGGATGCTGCGAATATCATTATAAACGAGCATCAACAGATTGAAAATAAGGAGTTTGTTAACAACAATGCAAATGGCAACACAGAAGTTCAGTTTTTTCATGGTCTTCTCCGACGTATACCTGTAAATAAGGTCCTCTCTCTCTCTCTCTCTCTCTCTCTCTCTCTCTCTCTCTCTCTCTCTCTCTCTCTCTCTCTCTCTCTCTCTCTCTCTCTCTCTCTCTCTCTCTCTCTCTCGGTTTTGACCAATAGCATTATTTCTAAAGATTTCTATTTTTAAAGTACGTAGTTTTTTCGATAAATGTTTGGTATTTTTTTTGAACGCCATTATGGACATACCAAAAATCCAAAACCATTAACATATCTCTACTACTATAATTAAACTTTTAAGATGAATCTGATCTCCAATATAATTAAACTTTTAACATTCTATTTCATATTATATTAAATAAGAAACAATTTTTATTTGTAGTTAACAAAGTCAAAGAATAAAAAAATATTAAATTATGAAAAACTATAAAACCTATAAATTTATAAGCATTTAGAAAAAAAAAAAAAAAGGTATATAATTAAAAAAAATCTTAAGTGTCTTTAACTAACTTTATTTGATCACATAATTGATTTTTTTTACAAAGAGCCCCTATTTTGAGTTGTTAATTATACTTAAGTCTTATATAAAATCAGTGTTTGAGTTTTATGAAATGATGGATTCTTAGTAATAAATATACATTACAAATATAACGGCTTTAATTTTTTAGTATACTAAACAATGTATCGATATCCTTGAAATGATAATAAAAACAGAGAAATTAAATAGTCTTGTATTTTTTATTCAGATTTTTCTTTCTACCAAATGTACAAATTTAATATCACAATCAAATTTAAATTAAATTTAATCATAATTATGATCATTTAAAATATTAGATAGAAAGATAATAGAAACAAAAAATAAAAAGATATTTAATTTCTCAAAATACATAAAGATAATACATGCAACGTTGAATCAGGGATTTGAATTTATGTGGATGCATGTGATTTAGATTCAAGTGGTAAATATTTTTATTTAGTAATTTAGATGTTTTAAATTCTAATTTTAATTAATAATGAAAAATATTTGGTATTTCAGATACACTTTCCATTTATTTGACATCAATGGTTATTTTGCCAAACTCATTTTAGATATTCGTTAGTTGAATGCTCTACGTATGTCATACTCATTTAGTAAGAACCATCACATCAATAAAGTTAAAAATAATAAATGTCATTTACTTTCTTTTATTCCGAACTACTAATTGGTGCTTTAGAAATACGTTTTCATTACAGAAAGTTTGCTATACGTTTTTGAATCAATTATGCCAAATCTTATTACATTATCTTTTTCTAATAGTGATCAATATATATATATATATATATATATATATATATATATATATATATATATATATATATATATATATATATATAGGAAAGTGATTGTACATAAATGTTCCTCTACAGAATATGCATTATTGAGTTATACAGTGTAACATTTTAAAACATCAATTGTTATGTATGAAAAAAAATTATTGTATACAAATCATCTTTTATATATATATATATATATATATATATATATATATATATATATATATATATATATATATATATATATATATGAAAATAATTAAGATAAACTATATCAAAGTTTCTATAATTAGTTTCAACTATCTTCATAGATCTAATTCACAAGCAAACCCAAAGCCATCTCGAAGCTAAAAAAACTAACATCATATACAACATTCCAAATCCAAAATAATCAGTTAATTATACAAAAAAAAAAAAGAATATTAATACAATAAAAAAGTTATAAGAATCATAATTAAGATAATCAACCGATGCACGAACTGTTTTTCAAAGGTGGGCCATGTGAAATCGGCCAAACTCCTACTTGGAACTGATATATATTTTGTCCACTTGAGTTGGAATTGTACTTTTAAAGTTTGTTTTCTAAAAGTTCTGATGCTCATGTGTTTGATCATCAAAAGTTCACAATATGTTGAACCCAATGTCATTGCCATCACCTTCAAAATCACATGCTATTATTATAAGGTGATTGTGACCTTTTGAACATCTTGATCAAGTAAATTAATGCATGCGCAATTGAATGGTACCATAACTACAGATAGAAAAGATAATCTATTTAATTAAGTTATCGTTAGACATGTAATCATTGATGGATGAAAAACCATATTTCTTGTTGTAAATACAAAAATACAATGATAAATTATAATTTTGGTCCTATGGTTGGCACAATCACCCAAAATTTAAAAAATTGTTATGGGTGTTCATCGTGCTTACAAAATACCAATGTTTTAAAAACCGGTTTGAACCGGTCGGTCGAACCGGTTGGATTGAAAATCGGGAGAGAAAGTCACTACAAGAAATATACTATTTAGCGGCGATACTATTACCGGCGACAAGAGGCTTTACCGGCGATTTTAGATAAAATCATCAGTAAAGCCCCTTGTCGCCGGTAATAGTGTCGTCGCTAAAGGGTTGTCACCCGAATCCGCACTTTCCCCCTCTATTGCATCTCAACCGTTCGATGAGATATCCAATCCAACGGGTGGGGTGCCTTATCCTGTCTAACCTAATACTGGCGACACAGATGTCGCCGCTAAAGGTTAAAAAAAGTCGCTGCTAATAGTCCGCTAAAAATGACGCGGTACCCTTCCCTCCAGTTTGTCGCCACTATTACTCATTGTCGCCGGTAAAGCCCCTGTTGTCGCCGCTAAAGGTGTCGCCGCTATTACCGGCGACAGAACTCATTACCGGCGACACTTTTGTCGGCGACCCTTTTACCGGCGACATCTGTCATTACCGACGACAATATTATTAGCGGCGACAATAGTCATTAGCGGCGACATACTAATAGCGACGACTATTATCATTAGCGGCGACAAACTGATCAATAGCGACGAGGCAGTACCGGCGACGCGTCGCCGCTATTAGTATTACCGGCGACTTTTGGGACTTTTACCGGCGACTTTTGTCACCGGTAATGGCCTTTTTCCCTGTAGTGAGTGGTTCAAATATCACCGGTTTTACATTGATTTCTGAACCGAATTGAACCGGTCTATTTAAAAAAAAAAAAAAAAAAAAAAAAAAAACCGATTGAACCGGTCAAAATAAACCGGTTAAACCAAATAAAAACATATGAAAAAGAACCATTTACATAACAAACTTTGAACCGGTTAAACCAAATAAAAACATATGAAAAATAACTATTTGTATAATAAACTTTGGTGATTTTTTTCAAATCTATTTAGTTTTTCCTAAATAAAAACATATGGTAAATGTTATAAATTCTTTTGATGTGTTTGTATTCATTAATAACTATATTTCGTTTCGGCATTATATTTTATTTTCTTTTTGACGTATATGGATTGATGTAAAACACTAAAACTTATGGTTATATGTTATTTTAATGTATTTTGATTCATCTACAACTTATTTTTATGTGTATTTTTAATGTTTGAACTTGTAAACATCAAATTTATAATTCTATACGTATGTATGTGTAGGAAAATAGAAAAAAACATGAAAAATATAGAAAGCGGTTTACCCGGCGGCCGAACCGGGAACCAGTCACCATACCGATTCAACTAAAAAACCGGTTTTTAAAACATTGCAAAATACAACATTATTGGTCCAATTGGATAAGGATATGGTGGTTGCTATCAATCTATCATTCAACTTCTCTAGTCTCCAACCACATATTGTGTGTACCGATTGACGGAGCGGTGTTCCTACTTCTCTATCCATTTTATTCCCTTCATCAAAGTCTATTTTCATTTTTCCCTTTAACTCTCCACACCCATCGAGATAGATATCCTATTTCTTCCCTCTTTTCTGTTCTTTCCTAAGCAACCATCCAAAGCTTCCCCCAGTCAACCCCGATCCCTCTTCCTAAAACCAAAACCACCATCCTAACATCATTAGACATCATTAAGTCCAATATGAAAAATACTTTTTCCCTTAGACGAAATTATATAAAACATATATATTTTAGGAACTATTTCTGAAAATTGTGTGAAAACTAAAACAAAGCCAAAGACCTTCTAGCCTAGGTAGTTGTACCTGTTGTGGAAAAGTGGCAATCAACCATATGTTGAGGATTTAATTCATGTTTGTGAATTAGGGGCAAAAGATATAGTTTTGGAATACAATATATATGCGTGTGTTAGTTGTGCTACAAATAAAAATAAAAAACCATAAATCTAGTAGCCCTCATCGTTCACATTAAGAGCATCCACAATGACGAGTTCAATGAGAGAGTTGAGTGAAGTGACAAGTCTATGTTTCATTCAATAGATGAAACTCTACCATTATGAGGTGCGACATTCATTGGAGTTCAATGGGAAAAAGGAAAATTTTTATTTCTTAAATTTTTATTATAAATTATATTTTGTAACATTCTATTGAATTTTGTTGAGTTCAATGCATTGTAGAAAAAATATAGAGTTGTATGGATTGTAGAAAGATGATGTGGCAATCCATTGAACTCTATAGAGTTCAGTGCGTTGTAGATGCCCTAACCTCTTATACGTTACACCACCTAATGTCGTCAGCTCCAACGCCTCATCTCCCATGTTATCTCCTTTGCCTCACTTTTTCCACCACATCTCCCTTGTTCTCCACCCCATGACCAGCTGACCTTCTAATCCTCCTCACCCCCCTGGATAATCACTTTCCTTCTTCCTTTTATATTTAAAACCACACACCATGTCTTGCTTTAACAAGTAGCCAACTTGCCATCATAATGTTGTTGAAGATCGAGCTTCAATACCAAATGCTTCCATCACATCGACACTTCAAGACCGACTGCAACCACCATTTATGCCCTCCCTCCTTTTGCTGCCTTATTGTATTGATTCTAGAAATGCCCTACATATGGTTTTCATTTAGGTTTTCAGTTTTATATGTGTTTAATTTTAGTTCATGTTTTCTATCTTTCTCGTGGTTTTCTTGAATTTTTGTTAAATGAATGAAAATTTTTGTATTGGATCTTGATTTTGTTAAAATATTGACTTTTGTTTTGATTTTTTAGGGATTTTAGAATTGATTTTAATTTTAGATCATAAATTTGAAGGTAGTGGTAGTAGCTGACACTATTAGGTGGTGGTGGTGGTAGATAACAGTTTAAGGAGGTTGGGTGGGATGCGGTAAAAAAATTCTAGAAGAGGGTTATAACACCAATCTAACCATTTAAAGATAACCCCTCCTTTACTGCGATTCTAAACCCAAAAAAAATGACAAAACAGAAAGAAGAAAACTTATTGAATGGGATCACTTATTTTTTGTAGCTTAAAATAGAATAAAAAATGTGAAGATGATGGACTCCAATATGGCCTTCCATAATTTACTAGTAGAAACAAAAGAGCAAGAAAGGGTGTCGGTTATAAGAGTACTTAGTAGAGTAGAAGCAATATTAAAAAAAGCATATAAAGTAATATTAATATGATTAAGAATGTAAACTTGTCATTTCTCCTGAGGTTGATGGAGAACAACTAAAAGGACCAATTGTTCTTAGATGAGAAAAGATTGTAACAACCGAAAGGACCAATCATGATGTATTTTGAAATCACGGGAACTATCCTTGTTAGAATTTCAAAACATGGACTAAAAATGATGGAGAGTACAACCCATGGTGACCAAAACATTAATTAACCATATCCTTAGGTTATACATAATTGCAATAGTCTGCGGAAAATGACTAGTGAGGGTAACTAACTGTTGCGTTTGTTTTCATTTGATCCCTTTCCTTTTTTTTATACTTAATATACCATCGAATTTGTTGTTTGTGTTCACCATAACCCTTTTGACCGGCTTGTGAGCTGTGATAGTTGGTCAAAGGGTTATGGTGAACACAAACAACAAGTTTGATGGTATATTGAGTACAAAAAAAGGAAAGGGGTCAAATGAGAACAAACTCAACAATTGGTTACCCTCCTTAGTCATTTTCCCTGAAAAGTTAAATGGAATTAAAGTGAAAAATTATCAAAGACTGCAACCTTCTTTGGCCATAACGTATATGAAGAGCGTTTCAGATGGGTAATTACGTTAAAACATGGTCTATGTTATGTGTAACATCCCCAAAATCACAGCCAGAAAAGACCGGTTTAATTTATGTTTTTAAAATAATTTCAGAGTAATCCTTTGATTAAAAGAGTTGCGGAATTTGTTCCCAAAACAAAATATGATAAAAATAAGATTTACCAAAGCATTTCTTAAAGAAATGTATTTTTCATTATATTACAATACTCGGGATGTCATGTTCCGATAAACAAACCAAAAGCATAAACATTTCAATACAGACCTTACAACAGTTAAATATAACGACCGGTCTATAATCCAAAAATAACTTGACAAGTCATCCAACTTATGCTCTAGCACCACTACCTGTAATACAAAGAAACTGAGTGGGTTATATAGGATTTTCAACCCACAATAAATAATTATATTTAATTCCACCAACCAACAATAACCCAATTACCCATTCTCATTATTCTCACTTTACGTCTCTAAAACAACTAACACAAGGGACCTAGTCTTAGAATATTACATCGGGGCTACAACACATGCATTCGGGGGTTTCGCAGCAATATAAGTCAAATAAGGCAACCATGAGGGGGATGAAGTACATCGAATGAACACCCAACTTCATTAACACCTACATGTGGCGGGCCTGCTAGCATTCCACAGGACTGTCTAGAAAGTCTGTGGTCATCATCTAAACTCCACTAGATGACTGAATCAAAAACAACATCGAGGCCTCTCATCTGTTTATCACACATCAACTATCTACCTATGTTCTACCCAGTATATTAATAGATAAAAAATATATTTTTATGCATAGTTTAAAACCTGTATAGCATTCTCATTCAATACATATTCCAAACAACATATGAGGCACATACACATAACACGTATTTCATAGAGAATAAATCATATCTATGAGATAAAAGAAAGTGAATATACATTCACACATATAACAACAAAATATACACATAAAACGTATTTCGTATAAAATACTTCTTAATTATGCGTTAGAAGAAAGTGACTACACACTCACATGATCAGAAGATGATCAGACAGCACTACGACTTGTAGATGTATTATTCTTCGGTGAAACTGGGTTCACTTCCATCATCGGGCTTCTTGTGGGCAGAGCTTCGGCTCGGAAACTCTTTTCTTCGCAGGATCTTCGCGCTTCGGGACTTGCTTCGGGTCTCAGGATGATACTGGGGCTTCGGGGGTACTTCTTTGCACGTAAATCGAGGTAATATGAGTGAGAAGAGAGAATTTGAGCAACCAAACTCGGATGACCCTTCAAATCTATTTATAGGGTAAAATTTGCCTTTGCCACATCATGGTGCCTAGGTCATCACTGCATGCGTCATGGCAAGTGGTTCTGACAGACTCCAGAGCTCCTGCCACATCGTGGTGGCTGATAGTTTTGGGGTTTCGCGCCCCGAACTTCAGAAATTCATAACTTTCGCATACGAACTCCGTTTTCAACTTTCTTTATATCTACGTGTGGGTGAGAATATGCTCTATAACTTTCGTTTAGACTATGTTGGCTAATTTTGACTTTATTTTTAATATATTATAAATATATTACTTTTATATTATTTTTAGTAGGTCGGGACAGGAAAACTCTGTTATAAATTCATAACTTCTTCATATGACGTCTGTTTTTGCCTATCTTTTTATCGTTTCACTACTATCGATGAGATATTCGATTCTCATTTAGATTGTTTCGGCTAAAAATCACTCGATCTCAAATCAAGGATTCGGGCTGCATACTGCTAAGTCGAAACTTCGGAAAAATCATAACTTCCTCATACGAAGTCAGATTTGGGAGTTTTTTATGCACACTCTCTGTTTAACGAACTCTACAACTTTCGTTTAGATCACTAAGGCTAGATATCTCTCTATCTTAATTTCATGTTTTACGATATTCGACGGCGTACCGGTTCTGTCGCGAAACTTCGACAGATCATAATTTCTTCGTTATAACTCGGATTTCGGCGTTCTTTATATCTTCGGAATCCTTGTTTCGACCACTACAACTTTATGTAAAAATATCGGGTTTATCACACACTTAAAATATTGACGCTTATTTTATCCTTAAATTAATTATATCTTTATAAACAATTAAATAAGCACATAATTCATATAATTCACATAATACTCAAATAATTCATCTTCATTAGTTCAAAAAGAGTTACAAAGGTTAACCTAGACTATTACATCAACAATAATGCCTAGCCTAGAAATGCGGTCGTTACTATGGTTAGTTTTCAACACCTCTCTGCAAAAGGATATCATTGGGTATGAGAGGTATATTTATCAGCATAAACGTTTACATCAATGTATATTATGGTGATGTGTCTGCAAAAGCTACATGATATTGTACATATTGATGTTGTATCTTATCTCATGAATTCAATCTTAAAGCTAGGTAAACTCAAAAATCACAACACTTATGATTCTACTCGATAAACGTTTACATCAAGGTATATTATGGTTATGTGTCTGCAAAAGTTGCATGATATTGTACATATTGATGTTGTATCTTATCTCATGAATTCAATTTTAAAGCTAGGTAAACTTAAAAATCACAACACTTGTGATTCCACTCATTTGTAGACTTGTCTAGAATCCATGATACGATAAATCATTTGATTGAAAATGTAAATGTAGTCATGAAATACACCTGCTTAGTCAAGATTCCCCTAATAAATATTCAAGTGCATTATAAAGTTGTATATGTATGGATAATGTTCTTTCGTGTGTTATGTTTTGAAGAGAAGCAATAATATATCTCATAAAATCATTAATATCAACATGAGATGACGTGAGATTTGTTGTAAATGAGTAAATAAATAATGAATCAGGAGCATAACCAACTGTTGCATTTGTTCTCATTTGGTCACTTTCCTTTTTTGTACTCAATATCATCGAACTTGTTGTTTGTATTCACCATAACCCTTTGACCGACTATCACAAGTCAAAAGCCGATCAAAAAGGTTATGGTGAACACAAACAAGTTCGATGGTATATTGAGTACAAAAAAAGGAAAGAGGCCAAATGAAAACAAACGCAACAAGTAGTTACCCTCAATAATCATTTTCTCATAGTCTGGTCAACACACATTGATTTTTTGGCCACCCAATCAAAAATCATTTTGTATTTGATTTTTTCTATTTAAAAAACACTACAAAACATATCTTCTAAATGACAAAAAATAATAATAAGTAGCGTGACAAAAATGAGATGAAAGCTATGTGACAAGACTACACCACTCCCTTGCATTTCGAAAATAAGCAATATATGATGTACCGAGTACATTAAATATATAGTTTAATTAATGATTGGTTACTCTTCTACAAAGTAAATTTGTTATATATATATATATATATATATATATATATATATATATATATATATATATATATATATATATATATATATATATATATATATATATATATATATTATATATATATATATATATATATTATTGACCTATATATAGTTTATTGTTATTATTTTATAAGATAACAAGTATGACATTTCATTTCATGGATAGATTTAAAGTTAAACGACTTGTTATCTAACTTTCAATGCGTGATTCATGCATATAGGTGGTAGAAGAGGTAAGATTGCTTGGGAAGGCAGCTTGTCCAGTAGCAACAACCACTTTCCTTGTGTTTTCAAAGTCCATAATCTCCATGCTATTCTTAAGCCACATGGGTAAAACTGAACTAGCAGGAGGTGCTCTAGCCATCGGCTTTGCGAATGTCACAGGTCTCTCAATCATGAAAGGTTTATGCATGGGTATGGATCCAATTTGCTTTCAAGCCTTTGGTGCGAAAAGGTTCTCTGTCCTAAGCCAAATGTACATCAAAACCTTCATTCTTCTCTTGCTTACATCTGTTCCCGTCACCCTCCTATGGCTAAACGTGGAGCCTGTGTTCCATAGGCTTGGTCAAGACCGCGTGATCACCAAGGTGGCAGCCATGTACTTAACATTCTCGCTCCCCGAGCTCCCAGCTCTAGCCCACCTCCAACCACTACGGTCTCTTCTACGTGCACAAGGGTTGAACTCACCTGCCACCATTGTTGCGACTTGTTCCACCATCTTGCATCTCCCTATTAACTACTTCCTGATTAGTTACTTAAATTTAGGAGTGAAAGGTATAGCTATGGCATCAACTTGCTTCACATATAACATGAATATCGGATTGTTGATCTATATCTTCATGTCCAAAGTTGCGATTAAGCCTTGGGTTGCTAGTAGTAAGACCAGTTTATTCTCAATCTTCAAGGGTTGGGGGCCATTGTTGAGCTTGGCTATACCTAGTATGTTTTCGGTCTGTTTGGAGTGGTGGTTGTACGAGATCATTCTTTTCCTCAGTGGGTTGCTAGATAATCCTCAATCTTGTGTAGCAGCTACCGGAATCATCATGCAAACCACAGGCGCCATCTATGTGATTCCATTTTCTTTGAGCCTCAGCATATCTCAACGTGTTGGGCACGAGCTGGGTGCAGGCCACCCAGCTCGTGCTCAACGTGCTGCAATCATCGGGATCTCCATTGCCTTCATATATGGGCTTGTAGTCTTTGGATCATCTATTGCTTTAAGAAATGTTCTTGGAAAATTATACACTAATGAAGACCAGGTCCTTGCATTGCTTTCCTCGGCCTTGCCAGTAACAGGCTTAGCGGAGGTGGGTAACTCTCCACAGACAGCTGCTTGTGGTGCATTAACAGGTTCAGCCAGACCTAAAGTGGGGGTTCGGATAAATATGGCAGCATTCTACTTGATAGGGCTTCCATTGTCAATCGTTCTGGCTTTTGTTTTGAAGGTAGGTTATCGAGGATTATGGCTAGGGCTGGTTGCATCACAGGCAGCCTGTGTATCATTAATGGTGTACACGTTGGTGAAAACCGACTGGAGAGATCAAGCGAAAAGAGCAGAAGAACTGACTTTTGCTATGAATAAAGATGATGATACTGAACTAAATGAACTTGTGCCTTGACGATAATTTGCTTCATGATCTTTCACCACCAAAAAGTATATTAATTACGTAGTCATCATAGGGCTCATATCAAAAGTGAATATCATTTTTTTATTGATTCATTCTTTTGGTCACCCATTCTTCCTTTTCTTTTGTAGAATGTAAAGGCTTGTCAATTACTCTTGTTATAGGAAATTCAGGCAATTATGCAATAATATAATTTAACATTGTAGGATTGTTTGTTGAATAGGTTAAGTTATTTACAAGATAATAATTAATATCATTTAGATGGTGTTTGTTTTTTAAGATGTAAAATATTTGCTACGGACCGCACCTCACTACAGAAAGGGGAGCATTAGCGGCGACGCCTTTAGTGGCGACAACCACTATTAGCAGCAACACGTAATTGACGCGTTACATATCATCGTTAATAGTGGTTGTCACCGCTAATGCTTATACAGTATCAATCCCGTCAAATGAATAATGTCCGTCCGATCTGCTTTTATCCAACAGTGGGAAATGAGAAAAAAAGGCGCTCACTTTTTCCTCCAGGGTTGTCACCGCTAATACACACTTGTCGCCGCTAAAACCCTAACGTCGCCGCTAAAAGCTATCGTAGATAACCTTCTTTGATTAGATGTTTAAACCCATAATTATAATTGGTATGTACTTGATTTGATAGTAACAATGTCCTTTTGAGTTGTCTTCAAACCTAACAAATGAATAGGATAATTGTTGGAGAGAGAATAATGATTTATTAATTTATTACTTGGTTAATAAATTAATTTGTTAATGTATTATAGATATAATATATTAATTAGAAATCATATTGTTTAATTAATATTTAATCAGAAATTAATTTGGAATTAAATAAATTAATTGAAACTGTGGGGACTAGGTGACAATGTTCAAAAGTTGAGCATTGAGCATTCTGGAACCTCCCTTAGACGGATGGAACGAAATCGAGAGTGTCCTAGGGTTTCCTTGGGCTCTAAGGGTACCTTAGAAGCCTTAGGGAGGAAGTTAAGGGATTAGGGTTATCTAAGATACATCTGCCTTATCCTAAACCTTCCTTATCACCTATATAAACCCCTATAGGATTGGATTTTGTCTAAGGGCACTCCAAGAGAGGCTAGGGTCGAATTTTCCACTTCCCTTCTCTCTCCATAGTAATCCTTGGTTGCTAGGTTTGTTTGTGAGCCATTAGAGGTGCGACACTTGTGGCGCTTGCTACCAAAGTTCAAGATCTTCCAGGATTTCATTGTTATTACAATAAAGGTATGTATCCTAACTCTAATTATATGTTAATTTCGAAAATTACATGTGACTCCTACGGTTTCTAGTTTTTGTGTTCAATGCTTGTATGTCTAATAGTGAAAACATAGATCCTCAAATTATGGTTGCATGCACACATATGATTGTTTGCTTTGTATAAAACCCATGAGTGGTATCAGAGCGTATGGTTTTTGTTTTCAATTAGATTTGGTACAATTGATTGAACTAGACAAAATTAGGGTTTATGGATATTAAACCCTAAGGCCTTTAAATTTTTGCAAATTAGGGTTTTAGAACCCTGTTTTTTGAAAATCCCTAAGGGTTTTCAAACCATTTCTTTTGGACACCTTGGAGTCGAAAAATAGGGTTTCCTAACCCTAGGGTTTTTTTGATTTTTTGGCAAGGTTGAAAGCCTTGCCTTCCAGTCCAAGTAGAATATTTTGACATCGAAGGAATAAGTTAGTATGTTATTATTTTTGGTAATTATCTTGTATATTGTTTAATTGGATAATTAAAGATATTCCTACCTAAAATTCGAAATCCATTGATAAATGATTAAATTAAGTTAATATGTTTAATTTAAATTGGTAATCCTTATTTGATCTAATAATTTAATTAATCGTTTAATTTTTTGAATAATTATTAAATCAAAGGTTTTTTAAATTTTAAGATTTAAAATTAAATGGTTTTAATTTTTGAAAATTTTAATAAAATTAAAAAACCCTGGTATTTTAAAAGTTTAAAATACACCCTTATACTATATAAAATTAAAAGTCTAAAATATTATATATGTATCAGTAAAGAGTCAGTCTTACCGTTAGCAGGCCTCATTCACGAAGTTGGTATATAAGGGATGTTTAAGAAAAGTGCCTATAAAATGGCGATTGAATGGGTATCCATTCATTCCCACCACACTCTTGACTAGTGGATGGTCGTTAGCCGAACGGGTAGGGTATGACACAACCTTCCATTATAAGTATAATGAAAAACGAAGTAACTAAACACTTTTATAAATTCCCAAATCTTAGTTACTTTAGGAAAAATGTGGAATTTGTGTTAATCCATTAAATTGCACATTACACCCTTATTGGTCGATTAGTGGAGCGTGTGTGGTTAACCGGCACACTAATATAGGACCAATGAAAGATGTCAATGGGTAGCTTGATGTTTATCATAGATCAATTGAGCGTGTGTGGTTAACCGACACATTGATTAGGTTATTCGTAACATCGAGAGTATCGAGCTAATTTGCATGGTTATCCACACCTTGTTTGTGATCATCGGCATCCCAGTCACAAACGAATGACACAATCGAGATTTAAACATGTCACTAAAAAGTTCAATGAATCTCAAAAGATCTAGGAGTTTCAATTCACTGAAAACTTAAATTTCCTTTTCGTTTTTTATGGCGGAAATTGGTAAATCATCATTTACCTTTCTTCAAATGTTCTGCAATTTGGATTACGGCATCCCTCTTCCAAATTTTAGAACATTATGTTGGATCCTAGCCTTAATATCTCTTTTGGGTGTTTTATTAAGTACTCAATCAACTGACTTGAATTTTCTCTCATTTTGTAGATGTCTGATTCTAACTATGGTCTTTCCAAATCCCTTGGAACAAGCTTTCCACATGAAGATGATATTCCGCGATTCGATCGAGAAACAAGAGATCATTCTCCACTTCCTCCACCTCCTCTTATTTTTCTCCCTAACCCACAAGTTCGAAGGCTTGAAAAGTTCAAGTTCACTCAAGCCCTTTTGGCAAGTAAACACGAAGAATGAAAGTTAGTGTGTGCACACATCTTAAAGATGAAGTCGCACATTAACAAGCTAAGAATGTTGGGAGTCATTGTCTGTGAGAAGTTGGCTGTTGACTGGGTTCTTCAGTCGCTTCTTGACTCATATAGTGAGTTTGTAAGATAGTACTATATGATGGAACACGGCGTGACCCTCATCGATCTCACCTACTTGCTCGTTGTTGTTGAATCAGAAATGATTTGGCGCACTAGAGAAGTAAAGTTGATTGGTAGATCTACCTTCTAAACCTCCATAGACATAAGCAATGGCAATGAAAGGTATGCCATGGTCAAAACGTTTGACCATAAGAGAAAGGCAAAGTCTGAGGTAGTTCCGTGTGCTATTCCAAAAGAGTCAATTTGCTTTTATTGCCAAGAGAATGGGCATTGGAGACAAAGTTGTCCTGTCTACCTAAGAGATCTAAGAGATGGGAGAGTCAAAACGTATGACTATACTTCAAGTAAAATCCATTAACTAACTCTATAAGTTCCTATTTTTTTATTCTTAATACATTATGTGATAAGATTACATTTTTTTGATGTTTTGTAGAATCGAAGAAAAGAGAGGAAGCTTAAACGAAGAAGTGAGCTGAGTCTGATCACGAAAAATTGGATTTCGATCACATGATTTGATGATCGGATTTTTGGAGCTACTACTTTTAGAGCTATGGTAGATTGCTTAGGAATATGTAATAGCGTAGTTTTTCATTTGAATTGCATTGTAAGGACAAGTTTTTCCGCACCTTTTATAAATAAAATAATTTTTTTGTCTTATTTATTTATTTCCTTGCAATGGCATGCATTAAAAATTGACGTTTGTGTATTTCTAATTTTATCAATGTTGAAATGGATATGATTCTTAGTTATGTTATTTGTGGAAATGTCGAGAATTTACCAAATAACAAAAGATTCTTGTCGCTCGAGTTTCAATTGGACAGAAACTTGGAATCATACAAATTGTACTATATGATGAATGAGAACCTTCATATTTGGAAAATTAATACTATTTCCTTGACAAAGAGTTAAGTGAAGGACTAGGAGAACCGGTACACAATGTTGTGCACTAGTCAAGTCCACCACAAAGAACAATAAGATTATTCGTCATGATTTACTAAAATTCTAATAAATGTAGTTATGCTTAGAACATTAAGTGTAATTCTGAATCGTTGAAAAGTTTCAATGTATCGCAGAACGAATAAGTAGAATCAATTAGGTAGAAAAATAAAAGTTTCTCCAATCTAAGAAGAAGGGAGAGTACTTTTGTATCGTGTTATATGATCGTCTTGTTGATTATGAAACCATATCATAGTTAATCCTCTAAGGACATCTTAGTGCACTAGTATGGCTAAGAAGAGGAATCATAAATTGTTGAAATGGTTAAATCAAAAGTATGAGTCATACTTCGTTCCAAAATCAAGTCTTAGATTCATACTCTAAGATTGTGAATTGAGTGACACATCTTAAGAAGTTCTAAAACACTCTTCAAATGTAAAGTAAAAAATTATTATTCTTACTCTTGCACATATGAAATTGGTAAATTGTGATGTATTGGATAAGATAAAGACCAACTAATACCAATTGTGTGTAGTATTTGTATTGATAAAAATCCACATTAACTTTTGAATATTTGTGTGTTAAGAAATGTTTCTTGACAGGAGAATCTTATATGTCAAGAGGTCAGTGGGAGTCTAAATGATCTTGAAAAGTTTGAATAACTAATCAAGAGTAAACCTATTATTAAACACTAGCGCAAGACTTGAGGTTTGTAACCTATCGTGTTGACATATCCTTGTTTATGTGCCATTCTAGTTTAGTAAACTATGCATATGAGTTCTACGAATTCTCAATAGACTGTATAAAGGCAAGCACCTTGTTCAATGAAAGAACATTGACAAGTATAGGTGAACTGCTAATAACTTGGAAGCAATGGTGGGACCCTTGATGGAAAGA